CGGTCGATAGACTCGTTCCTTAAGCTTTTATCATGCCACAAGCCTGGCCCCATCTCTGAAAGAGCACCAAGATGGAGCCACGTGTGTGACACCGCCACAAGTGGAGCGAGGAGTCAGGTGTGTGGTCCCGGGCTGGTCCAGAGTCAGGAGGAGTAAAATACCCGGATAAACTAAACATAAAAGACCTTTCATCTCCAAAGTTGCGATGGAACAGTCGAGACATGATCACAATGTACAAAATATTATACGGACTCGCACTCAGAGACTCGCACTCATGGACTCGAACCTGGAAAGTCTGCTCGCCTTGACGCCCTTCTTGAGAAAAAAAAAATTCTGTACACCTCAAAATAAATCACTACTAAAACCGGATAAAATTGTTGCCCCGTAAGAGAGCAAGAGGAAGAAATTTGCATAAGACAGGCAGGGGGGGGGGGGGAAGGATAAGGGTTGGGGGTTGGGGAGTGAGGTTAAGGGGGTGGGGGGGGGTTAAGGGGATGGGGGAAGGGTTGGTAGGTCATCGGTTGAGGGGGAGGAAGGGTTGAAGGGTGATTATGCTTGACAAAATACAAATATTTAAATATTCAGTAGTCCATAGAAGGGAGGTGAGGGAGATGGAGGGAGGGAGAGGGAGATGACGGGGACTGGGAGGGAGGGAGGGAGAGAAGGGGGGACAGAACAAATTTCAAAGGGATAGGGGATCACAGGCAAGCAGGACGGGAGAGTTTTGATGAGGAGGTAAGGGAGGGGTGAGGGAGGGAGGGGGGAGGTGCAAGCTGAGGTGTGAGGGAGGGGGGAGGTGTGGGAGGGGGGAGGTGTGGGAGGGGGAAGGAGGGGGGGAGGAAGGAGGAGGAAGGAGGGGGGGAGGAAGGAGGAGGAAGGGGGGGTATTACTTCAAGAGACTGTCAACAAAACAACAACAGTAAATAAGGAACGATAAATGGTATTTTCACCAACAATTTCTGGTATTTATTCTTCTGATGAGAGACGTGTGTGAAGGGCGCACTGGTGTGGCTGTGGTGTGGCGTAGTGTGGCTGTGGTGTGGCTGTGGTGTGGCGTAGTGTGGCCTAGTGTGGCTGTGGTGTGGCCTAGTGTGGCTGTGGTGTGGCTGTGGTGTGGCTGTGGTGTGGCCTAGTGTGGCTGTGGTGTGGCTGTGGTGTGGCGTAGTGTGGTTGAGCGCAAGGTTGTGCTCAAGGGAGAGCGGATTACATTATAACAACAACCATTGATGTCTCGCTTAATATGGCGCACATTTATTACGAAATCGACAATACCGTTAAAAATGCGACGCATTAGTAAAAACTAAAACACTGCAATACTGACGTTTCCAACAGCCTGGATAGTTAATTAGGATGGGTTGCTTGGTCTAGAATGTTCCCGGTTACAGTGTATAAGACAATTGCGTTTTTTACGCAGCGGTAAATCAAGAGAACCCCCCTCTTAGGCACCCCCTGAACCCCCTCTTAGGCACCCCCTGAACCCCCTCTTAGGCACCCCCTGAACCCCCTCTTAGGCACCCCCTGAACCCTCTCTTAGGCACCCCCCTGAACCCCCTCTTAGGCACCCCCTAAACCCCCTCTTAGGCTCCCCCTGAACCCCCCTCTTAGGCACCCCCTGAACCCTCTCTTAGGCACCCCCCTGAACCCCCTCTTAGACACCCCCTAAACCCCCTCTTAGGCACCCCCTGAACCCCCTCTTAGGCCCCCCTTGAACCCCTCTTAGGCACCCCCTGATCCCTCTCCCCTCTCCGCCCCCTCCCACCTAAAGCCAACAATCTCTCGCCAAAACCCCGCCAACATTTCTTGATGCTCGGATTCATTTGTCGCCGCGGGGATGGACACACCAGAGGTCAGGGTTCGAGAGAGGCACCTGGCGTGTGGTGGAGGTTATAGTGACACCCTCCCCCCCCCCCTGAAGTGTGGGGTGGAGGGGGTGGGGGGGTGACGCTCGGGGATGGTGGGGGATGGTGTCTGGCACCATCCTCAGATCCCTGCAAGACATGGGCTTCATAAAATAGAGCAAATGAAGAAGCAGGCGGGGATCGGCCGGCCTTATCTTGATGGCTGATAAATTGACCAGTGAAAGGGAGGGGGGAGGGGGGGGAGACAGGTGGGGGGAGAGAGGGGGGGGAGGAGAGAGGGTGGGAGAGTGGAGGCGAGTAAAGAGGTGTGGCGGACGACGAATAGATGGGAAGAAAAAGGCGGGAAAAGAATAGGTGGAGCTGAAAGAATGTGAGAGGGGTTGTAGAGTGAGGGAATGTGTACTCACCTCGTTGTGCTTGCGGGGGTTGAGCTCTGGCTCTTTGGTCCCGCCTCTCAACTGTCAATCAACTGGTGTACAGATTCCTGAGCCTATCCTGGGCTCTATCATATCTACATTTGAAGCTGTGTATGGAGTCAGCCTCCACCATATCACTTCCTAATGCATGCCGCCTGTTAACTACTCTGACACTGAAAAAATCTTTGTCTGAGTGGCTCATTGTGGGTATTTACTATTTGTATCTGTAGATACAATTATCTGTAGATAATCGAGCTATTAGCTCTTGGACTTCGCCTTTCTAACCAATTTAGTTTTCCTCTATTATGTTTACTACATATATTTATCTTACCCTCGCACACACACACCCAGGAAGCAGCTCGTAGCAGCTGTCTAACCCCCAGGTACATATTTACTGCTAGGGGGAACAGGTGCATCAGGCTGAAAGAAACTCTGCCCATTTGTTTGTGCCTCTGCCGGAGATCCAACCTGAGCCCTTACGGCTACAACCCCAGAGCGCTATCCACTCAGCCGCGAGGCCCCACAAACAGAAGTATAGAAAGCGTATTATCAACAACGAGTGCAATGCGGTTATATTTAACCCAATATGCAGACTGCATATGAGAAAGGCTGCAGGAACACGCAAGCCATTGGTCACTTAAAGAACTTTAAATGACCCGACCAGGATTCGAACCCCATGACGTCCAGGATCACCCATTAATAACGTACACAGTACCGCGACCACCACACCATTGAGTGTGTGTGTGTGTGTGTGTGTGTGTGTGTGTGTGTGTGTGTGTGTGTGTGTGTGTGTGTGTGTGTGCACTCACCTTTTTGTGCTTGCAGGATCAAGCTCTAGCTCTTGGATCCCGCTTTTCTAGCCGTTGGTTGTCTAATGAAATGAGCCCGGGCCTATTTCTCTATCATACCTGCTTTTAAAGTTATGAATTTAAAGTGAGTGAGTGAGTGAGAGAGAGAGAGAGAGAGAGAGAGAGAGAGAGAGAGAGAGAGAGAGAGAGAGAGAGAGAGAGAGAGAGAGAGAGAGAGAGAGAGAGAGAGAGATTTTCTATCAATCATCACTAGCCAAAGTTCTGCTTTAAAGGATACACTAATTACAGATAAATGTGGTTGCAAACCTTGCACAGTCCCCCCCCCCCCACCCGCAGGTCTGTGTAACGCCTCACTAAATGATGACAAGTTGTATGACAGACAAATTGTCATCCACACTTCCGTGGAAATAAACATTTCCTTATTAAGACCACTCAATAGCTCGGTCGATAGAGCTTCGGCCTCACACACGAGTAGTCCACAGTTCGAGTCTCCTAGACTCCCAGGTGATAATAATATAATATAATCCCAGGTGAATGGGATTATATGACAGACTACCCACCATTTCACATCAAAGGAACCTGGTGAATGAAACTAAATGAATGCCAGGAAAGCCATTATGGAAATGGCTACAACCTTACACGCCAGCGAATTTGTATTTGCCTCAAAAAAAAAAAAGCTGGGTATGAAACGTCAAAGCTTTTCATAGAGAGGACACAGAGTGGCACACCATCACATTAACACAAAGACCAAAATAGGCACTAATACAGAGACACTGAGGTGGTGCTGCGGAGTCTAACAGCCCCGTTGACCAGACCGTCAATAGGAGGTCTCGTTAGGGACCAGGCCGCGGGGCCATTGAACTTAAGAACACATTCAACTACGCGTCCAACTATTGAGACAACGCGGGCACAACCCAGGGATCAGACAGGGAGAGAACTGGGCACCGTTCCTTCACCGCGCACCTTCAGTAATGAGGACCTTGAGGTGGTGTAGAGCGATTAGCGAACCGTCTACTGGAGGAGAAACTAGTCGAGCTCAGGGCGAGCTGTTAGAGAGAGGTCCTCTACACTGTGGCAGGGAAAATGTCCGCGTCTGTAACTGCTCGTCGCGTCCCTCTGGAGGGCGGGGCCGCCACGACGTCATAAGAGGGGGCCGTCACAGCGTCATAAGAGGGGGCCGTCACAGCGTCATAAGAGGGGGCCGTCACGACGCGGTGAGGGGAATGAGGCGAGTGTCAAGCTTGTCTTGGCTTTATGTAAATTCTGCAAGCTTACGCACCAGAGAAGACGGGAGCTGTTGCCCTTGGTAAATTACTCCATTTACATCTGCCTCTGCGTGGGTGTGTATAAGAGAGAGAGAGAGAGAGAGAGAGAGAGAGAGAGAGAGAGAGAGAGAGAGAGAGAGAGAGAGAGAGAGAGAGAGAGAGAGGGGGGGGGGGGGGGGGGGGGGTACTGTTGTATTTTACTGTTGTATTTGTCATCAACACTTCCCGTGCTTCCTCTCTTGTGTTCACCGTTTCTGAGTTGGTCAGGTTCTTCACGTTCTTCATTATTCCCTCATTTATCACGACGCTTATCTTGTTCTCTAATCAATAACTCGTCGAACAGTGTTGTTTCTATTCATGTTTCCCATTTTTTAACCCCACCCTTTCCCATTAATAAAGTACCCTGGCCCTCCCCCATTACTGACGTACCGTGGCCCATTCCCATTAAGTACTTTTGCCCCACTAATACAGTACCCTGCCCATTGATATAGTACCCTGCCCATTAAGTACTCTACCCCATTACTATAGTACCCTGCCCATTGAAACATTCCCCTGCCCCATTATTACAATACCCTTACCATTGACATAGTACCATGCCCCGTTAATATAGTACCCGGCCCCATTAATAATGCAGCTGTACTCCTGCCACAGACCAGCAAGGAGAAGTACGTGCCTGTCGCCGTACGCATCCACGAGACGCTGGAGCTGGCCGACGACAAGTTCTACGTCATCAAGTGTGGTCTACAGGGCTTCTTCAACAGCAGGTGGGAGAGGGGGAGAGAGGAGAGGGGGAATGGGTGAGGGGGGGAGAGGGAGGGGAGTGGGGGAAAGAAGGAGGGGAGAGGAAGTGTGAGGGGGGGGGGGGGGGCGGAATAAGGAAAGAAGAAAATGGGACAAGGATCCCTGACCACATCTTGAATGAGACGGGTGGTGAATGGAACAAGTGAGAGTCAGCAATGGCAGGTTAAACGAGGGGAGGGAGAGAGGGAGAAAGAGAAAGAGAGAGAGAGAGAGAGAGAGAGAGAGAGAGAGAGAGAGAGAGAGAGAGAGAGAGAGAGAGAGAGAGAGAGGAGGGAAGGATAAGGATTTGGGATGGAACGGGAGGGGGGAGGGGAATGGTGCCCAACCACTTGAACGGTCGGGGATTGAACGCCGACCTGCATGAAGCGAGACCGTCGCTTTACGGTCCAGTCCAAGTGGTTGGGCACTATTCCTTCCCACCGTCCCATCACCCGTTCCTCTCTCCCAGGGGTGGAGAGGGGAGGGGGAGGAGAGGGGAGGGGGAGGCGTGGCTATGGTCACGTCTGAGACGTGTTCATGTCAGTACTGTGATAATGACGACGCTTGTTGTCTTACGATGTAATTTCAACAATAATTGTTATAATAAAAACAATACTTTTGTCGTAATAATCTAGTATATTTTTAGTATTATGAAATAATAATGATAATAATGAAAATACTTATAATATTATATTTTGAGAGTCTTTAGAAATGAGAGAGAGAGAAGAATTCTGGGCAAACTATGAAGAAATGTTCTTAATGGGGAATGACGTTAGGTCTCCACCACTCCTGTCGCTCCTACCTGTCATTCCTTCCTTCCCCTCCTGACACACACACTTCCGCCGTCCCCCTCCTTCCCTTCTCTTCCTCCTCCACACTCCCTCACTCTTCCTCCACAGTGAAGGAAGACGCCTCACTCTGCCTCCCTCCTGCCCCCCCCCCCAAGTCCTCGCCCCTGCCGCTCCCTCAGGACAAAGCTTCACCATTAAAAGTTCCTTCCCGATGGGAGCACAAAAGTTAGCTTGAATAATATGTATTTATATGTGGAACAAGTTTGTTCGGGAAGATCAGAGTATCGCATTACGTTGATGTTGACGCCGTGCCCCCCTGTGGCCTGGGGCTCCGTGCCCCCCTCCACCTGTGGAGCATTTACGCAGCCCTCTTACGAAACCTGTACATCTTTCCTCGATCATGCCAGATTTATTCACGGTTATTAAACAGCGAATGAGCTCTGAAGCGCTCACTCGACAAATGCACGCACAAAGTTGCTGAAACTTTGCACTTATTGAGTTTTGCTTCGCAGGAACGAGTCGAGCTTCGTGAACCTCCAGCTCCTGGACTCCACGAAGAAGAAGATCAAGGAAGCCGTGTTCGACCGGAAGTATATACTACGAGCCGATATCTCCAGACCCGACAGTGAGTATAGTGGTGGTGATAGTTGTTGGACGGGTGGTGGTGATTGTTGTTGGGGGTGGTTGTTGTGGTGATTGTTGTTGGACGGGTGGTGATTGTTGTTGGGGGTGGTTGTTGTGGTGATTGTTGGAGTGGTGATAATTGTTGGGGTGGGTGGTGATGGTGGTGGTGGTGGTGAGACGTGTTGGGGGTGTGAGTAGTGGTGGTATGGTGTCATTAGAGGCAGTGTAGTAGGATAAGATAGTGGTTGTGGCATAGAGCTGATAGTAGTAGTAGTAATGCTCTATGTGGCTGATGGTGGCGAATGATAGTGTTAGGAGTAGTGTTAGTACCAATAGCATGACTATTCTCACCAACACTAGCAGGAGAAGCGTTGCTAGTGAATGTTGCATTGATGTTAGTATGAGGATCAGCTGCTTCACATTCATTATGCTCCCAAAAAAGTTAATCGTAACAATACAAGTAGTACAGAAAGTATATTACTAGTAATAATTGTCAGAATAGTGGTAGTTGAACTACTAGTGTTGGTGTACCAGTAGCAGGAGCTGTAACTCTAACATGTTTCAGTCATTAAAAGTATCCGTCACAAAAAAGAACGCTTATAATATTATACCTTATGTTATTGTGTTTTTGTGAGTTGCTTAGTTTTTACACCCAGCTTCAGCAGGAGCAGCTTCAGCAGGAGCAGCTTCAGCAGGAGCAGCTTCAGCAGGAGCAGCTTCAGCAGGAGCAGCACATCCTGGTCTGGTCGGTAGATCCACCACCAAATGGGGCTCTTCTTAATACACCGTGAACAAATGGGGTTCCCGTGTTAATACACCGTGAACAAATGGGGTTCCCGTGTTAATACACCGTGAACAAATGGGGTTCCTCTCACTTAATACACCGTGAACAAATGGGGTTCCTGTGTTAATACACCGTGAACCAATGGGGTTCCTGTGTTAATACACCGTGAACCAATGGGTGAGAAGGGTCAGGGAGGGGAAACAATAAAGCTTGCCTCAAAATAACCCAGCACTAATAAAGTCAGATTTACTACACGAATAACGAAGCGGTGGCCGTTTCAGCCTGACGGGGGCAGCACTCTCGCTCCACTGGCTTACACACCCAGTTAACCTGGTTACAGAAAACCTTCAAAAGTTCTTTGGTCTCATGGAAATACTTTTCTACAATCACCATAAATTTGTTCAAGCATTAGAGCTCCCATTAATTCGTGAGATTTCTCATTTTAATTCAATTTTGTATGAAGTTATACTTTGGTAATACGTTTATATTTACTTTATTGATTGCATAAAGAGTAAAAGTTTGTAATCTTTATTTGGTAATTCAATGTTTCGTGTATAATCGTCTTTTGTTACCTGTCTTTGTCTATGTTTGTATTTTATTGATATTTTGCCTGCCTCCATGAAGGAGGCCGGCTGCCCTCCCTGCCTCCATGAAGGAGGCCGGCTGCCCTCCCTGCCTCCATGAAGGAGGCCGGCTGCCCTCCCTGCCTCCATGAAGGAGGCCGGCTGCCCTCCCTGCCTCCATGAAGGAGGCCGGCTGCCCTCCCTGCCTCCATGAAGGAGGCCGGCTGCCCTCCCTGCCTCCATGAAGGAGGCCGGCTGCCCTCCCTGCCTCCATGAAGGAGGCCGGCTGCCCTCCCTGCCTCCATGAAGGAGGCCGGCTGCCCTCCCTGCCTCCATGAAGGAGGCCGGCTGCCCTCCCTGCCTCCATGAAGGAGGCCGGCTGCCCTCCCTGCCTCCATGAAGGAGGCCGGCTGCCCTTTCTACCTCCGTCAAGGAGGCCGGCTGCTCTTTCTTTGCTGGTCCGGAACAGTGCCTGCCCCTCCTTGGGCTGCTACGGAACAGTGCATGCCCCTCCTTGTGCTGCTACGGAACAACGCATGTTGATTACCTCGCGCCAATGGCCTGTTAAAAGTTGCAGCGTCGCGCCAAAAGTGATTGAATATTTTCGTCTCCGCTTTCCTCCCAATATTTTCTCCTTTTGCTGCTGTTGCTGCTGCTGCTGCTGCTCCAAGCTGTGCTCGGTAGTGGGAATACTGCATTTTAACATTTAGTTATTTATTATCTTTTCTTGTTCCGACGTTCACGTGAGAACACCGTAAGAAGAACACTTAAATATGATTATAAAACGAACCTTTCTACTCACATTGGGCCGTGTGGTGGCCCCCATACGGACCCCCCCTCCTGGTGGCCGTTTATGAAATCAGCGTCTTGCGTCTCACGTACGTAGAAGTGTTGCCGCTGAGAGTTGTTTTCCGTAGCCATCTTAGTAGTTGTATTTACCAGCACTGTCTGGTTAACAAGTTCACAAAGGTTTAACGTTAAAATAAGCATGTTGACGTCTCAGTTACGCCACGGTATAAGTTATCCTTATAAAGGTCAGATTAGCTTCTTTCAGAGATATTTATATTCGTCTGGAAGGGGAGGGGGAGGGGGGAGGGTGAGGCGTTAATTTTGGTCAATAAATCTCTAAAAATGGTATTTTTTTTTTTTACCAAATGGCATTTTTTTGTATCTTAAGGGTAATATAATAAAGTTGAAACAAATTGCCTGTTTTTAACAAATAAATATGATCTCAATATGCTGAGAATGAGTTTAAAAGAGTCAACACCTCGACAAGCTCAGATGATATAAATGACTGAGATGTGAATGTCTTAGAGAAGTGCCCTACACGATATATAGTTGGGTTCGTAGCCTCCTAGCAGCAGTCTCAAGAACTATATTATACATTATAGGGGTCTGATGGCTTTTAGACCCAGAAAAGTTGGCATGTAAAATTGTTTCAGACTTAGTATGGAGGTGTTGTATAGAAGGGAAGGAGGAAGGATGGAGAGGGAAGGAAGGAAGGAGGGAAGGAGAGAGGCGGGAGAGTGAGAGAGAGTGAGAGAGAGAGAGAGAGAGAGAGAGAGAGAGAGAGAGAGAGAGAGAGAGAGAGAGAGAGAGAGAGAGAGAGAGAGAGAGAGAGAGGAAAGTAACCATGACAGATACTGCAACTGTCAATGAAAGAAGACTCTACTAGAAGTGTCAATAATTATTTTTTCCGCATGGGAAAACGGACTTGTACAAGTCTTGGGAAAAAACTCCGCATATTTCACTCTCCCGAAAACGGCCCTTCTTTAGATGTAGCAGAAGTAGACGAAGTAATAATAGATGAAGTAGATATAGCAGAAACAGATGTAGTAGCAGTAGATGTAGCAAAAGTAGATGTAGCAAAGGTAGATGTATCAGCGATAGTAGTAGTAGTCAGAGAAGAGCAGTTGTAGTGGTAAAAGCAGTTGTGTAAATCCAATGGAAATGTGCGCCGAGTTATATGGGAAAGTGGTGGAGGGGGGCCCCCTCACACTGCTGAGGAGCCTATATATATATATATATATATATATATATATATATATATATATATATATATATATATATATATATATATATATATATATATATATATATATGTATATTTTGGTAGCAGTCTTTCCTGTAGACATATATTATTAAATATGACCGAAAAAGTAAGATTAATAATTCTAACACGAATTTTCTCGATCTTTCGTACATTCCTTTTCACTGTTGGTGGTAATTCAAAAATCAATTCTCTAAAATTCATTTTTATTTCTAGTCTGACGCGACACTTGAGCGCGTTTCGTAAAACTTATTACATTTTCAAAGACTTTAGTTTACACATACACAACTGAATAGAACTTACACATCTCCGATTTGTTTATATCTACATTTGAGTGAGGTGGATGGGGTGAGGTGGTATTAATAGGGTATTAAATTCATCAACACAAGACAGAACACGAAACAATGGGTATTGAATGGAAGTGATTGTAGAAAGCCTATTGGTCCATATTTCTTGATGCTTCTATATAGGAGCGGGGTCTTGAGGTGGGTAGAATATAGTTGTGCATTAATTGGCTGTTGATTGCTGGTGTTGACTTTTTAATGTGTAGTGCCTCGCAAACGTCAAGCCGCCTGCTATCGCTGTACCTATCGATGATTTCCGTGTTGTTTACTAGGATTTCTCTGGCGATGGTTTGGTTGTGGGAAGAGATTATATGTTCCTTAATGGAGCCCTGTTGCTTATGCATCGTTAAACGCCTAGAAAGAGATGTTGTTGTCTTGCCTATATACTGTGTTTTTTGGAGCTTACAGTCCCCAAGAGGGCATTTGAAGGCATAGGCGACGTTGGTCTCTTTTAAAGCGTTCTGCTTTGTGTCTGGAGAGTTTCTCATGAGTAGGCTGGCCGTTTTTCTGGTTTTATAGTAAATCGTCAGTTGTATCCTCTGATTTTTGTCTGTAGGGATAACGTTTCTATTAACAATGTCTTTCATCTTTCAGGACCCTTTCCTCCGTTTTATGAGCTGTGGAAAAGAAGTTATATATATATATATATATATATATATATATATATATATATATATATATATATATATATAAATATATAATATATATATATATATATATATATATATATATATATATATAATATATATATATATATATATATATATATATATATATATATATATATATATATATATATATGCCTGTAAAATAGTCTAATAGGGGGTATAGGTGTTGTGTTAGTTGTCTCTTCAGAGGTTGCATGGCGTTTCACTTTCCTTCTTATGATGTCTTCGACGAAACCATTGGAGAAGCCGTTGTTGACTAGGACCTGCCTTACCCTACAGAGTTCTTCGTCGAGAACTATATATATATATATATATATATATATGACTCGATATATATATATATATATATATATATATATACACGTGAGGAACACAAATGCGAACAAGCCTGAATGGTATATATATATATCTACATTTGAGTGAGGGGCACACGTGGATGGGTCCTGGGGACCATGAGGTGGCATTAATAGGGTATTAATTTCATCAACACAAGACAGAACAAGAGGTGGCATTAATAGGGTATTAATTTCATCAACACAAGACAGAACAAGAGGTGGCATTAATAGGGTATTAATTTCATCAACACAAGACAGAACACGAAACAATGGGTATTGAATAGAAGTGTTTGTATATATATATATATATATATATATATATATATATATATATATATATATATATATATATATATATATATATATATTTACAAGAAAAGACACGAGAAATCCGAGTGTTTTTCGCTTATTAATACATGTTCAATTATTAGTTGCAAGTGTACTCACCTATTTGTTCTTGCGAGGATTGAGCTTTGGCTCTTTGGTCCCGCCTCTCATCTGTCAATCAACTGGTGTACAGATTCCTGAGCCTACTGGGCTCTATCATATCTACATTTGAAACTGTGTATGGAGTCAGCCTCCACCACATCACTGCCTAATGCATTTCATCCGTTAACTACTCTGACACTGAAACACACACACACACACACACACACACACACACTGTGTGTGTGTGTGTGTGTGTGTGTGTGTGTGTGTGTGTGTGTGTGTGTGTGTGTGTGTGTGCTTTCTGCTGTGTTTAAGTATCTGTCTTGTCCACAGAGGCCCACTCGATGCGCGTCAAGAACTGCTTCAGCTTCGGGGAGCCCAACTACACAGTGCCGCTGACTGATGACCGTGGGTAAGTCTTCCAGGGGTGTGGATGAGTCTTCCAGAGGTGTGAGTGAGTCTTCCAGGGGCGTGGGTGAGTCTTCCATGGGTGTGGATGAGTCTTCCAGGGGCGTGGGTGAGTCTTCCAGGGTCGTGGGTGAGTCTTCCAGGAGCGTGGGTGAGTCTTCCAGGGGCGTGGGTGAGTCTTCCAGGGGCGTGGGTGAGTCTTCCAGGGGCGTGGGTTGTGTGTGCTGGAGGCAGGCATCTAGGGGCGTGGGTTCAATGGGTTGCGGGACATAACCGGCGTTAAGATACACCACGAGAGCGGTTTTTAGTGATAACATGTGTGGTTGCAAGTGAATTCTCTCATAAAATAAAAATAATAACGTCAAATACAAATATAAAGAAAATAATTCAATTTAATATTGTCGTAGCACACCGCCTTCTGACCATCATTTTCCCGCGGCTGATTTTCTTCGGAGACCGGAAACTGCATGTGATTGGCTGCTGCCCCTCGTGGACCGGAAACCGCACGTGATTGGCTGCTGCTCCTCGTGGACCGGAAACCGCACGTGATTGGCTATTCAAATTCTCAGGAAAACATCCAGAAAGACGACGACTTTTCTGGCGGGAAATGTGCCTGGAGGTATGAAACACAGCCGCGCTAAAAACAAGTACGGATATAACCGGCTTAGGAACGACTTTGTCCGTGTCGGGTATATCCGGCCAGAGCACGGCAGGGGTTAAGGTACCTGGCGTAGGAGAGAGACGTGGAATAAGGAGGAGTTGGTGATGAGAAAGGGGGGATAAGAGAGGACGTGATGAAAGAGGACTAGCAACTCCAGGTTCAATAGGGAGTATAGGTTCAATAGGTTCAGTAAACCTCCAAGTATACTGTAGCCCAGGGTAAGCGGTGGTAGCTATCAGCGTAGCTGTCTGTATGGTGGTTCTAGCCTCTCATTATGGTAGCGAGTGTGCTGCTGGAAATGGTGGGGCGTTGTGTCTTAGCACCTCCGAAGAATACCTGATCAACTAGGCTGTGTTTCATACGTCAGGCTGCGAGCAGCCGCGTCCAACAGCCTGGTTAACCAGTCCAGCAACGAGGAGGCCTGGTCGAAGACCGGGCCGCGGGGACATTGAACCCCGAAATAATCGGAAGGTAAGGTGTTATCACGTTGGCGGGGTATCAAAAAGTCCGGGTGCCTCTCTTACCTATCCTACCCATTACCTATCCCTCTGCAATAGTACTTTTGACCCTTGACCAGGGAAGACGATCATTAGGGTGACACTGGCATCACCAGTATATTCGCACACTAACAATATGAAGTACATTGCTGTATGATTACGTTAAACTAGCAGACATTCTCTCAGACTGCGCACTTGCTATAATCCTACGATGGTAGCTTAGCGTATTCATGGCTTCATATAATAGACAATTTCTGTATCTACCAATAAAGGATTGTAACTTGTTCTAATGTCTATTGTATAATTACAATATGAATTATTACTATAATTACAAACTAACTCAGTCTGTTAATGGCCTTCGTCCGGGCCCCTGAGAATAACCGGTCGATGGCCGGTGAGAGTAGTGTAGCGGAGTGGTGTCTGCGGCCTCCCCGCCTCCCTTAACTTAGCTGTTAAACCCGAAAATGGGGGAAAATATGACTGTTTTGGGAGGTCAGAAGGCGGTAGTTTCCTCCAGATATTCCCCGTCCTTACTGATACCAGAGTTCTCTTTCCTTCTCGCGTTCTGCTTCCTCATACTAGCGTTCTGTTCTTATGAAGTTCTCCTGATCCTCACCTCTCTGAAAATGCCGGCTTTCGCCTCTTTAGGTAAAAGTTACGCACCTTCGCGGTGGTTCTCCGCCTAACAGTGATGTGTTCCTGCCCACCCCCTTCCCTCCTCTCACTCCCTGCCCTTAGCTTACCTATCCCCTACCTACCTATTTCTCTCTCTCTCTTTTCCTCGTTTTCTACCTACCTACTCTTTCTACCAACCTTCTTCCTCGCTACACCCTCCGGTCCCAGCCTTGCCATTCATCCATAACACTCCTATACACGACAACTATGGCTCTCTCTCTCTTCCCTCCGCCTTTGCCTTCCCTACTCGTCTCCATTTGTCTACACTTCCTTCACTCTCAATTAACAAGAAACCCACCATCGCTTCAACCCCCACAAGGTTGGGGGTTGAAGCGCCATCAACTCCACCCTCTATCCCCACAAACAATCAGCTCCTTCCCTCTCCAGCCTTACCCAGCCAACTCCCCCCCTCCCCAGAAGCTATCAACTACACCCCACCCCACTCTAAGGCCGTCAACTTCCCCCTCCATACCCCGGAAGCTTCTTTTCAATGTTGCGTGTGAACCTTGACTGAGTCTATAACCTCTATAGCTCACTCCGTGTCATGTAAATCTGTGGGTTAGAGAAGCTGAGAGAGAGAGAAAGGCCGGGGTATCGTGGCGGCGCTGGAGAGGCCGTCGAAGACGCAAATGTTGCACCCGATGGCGGGAAGGTGTCACTTGGGGCTGACATTCCAGGAGAGACGGACCTCCATTTGGCAGTGTGTGTGTGTGTGTGTGTGTGTGTGTGTGTGTGTGTGTGTGTGTGTGTGTGTGTGTGTGTGTGTGTGTGTGTGTGTGTTTGTGCGCGCGCCTGCCTGCCTGCTTGCTTGCTTGTTTGCTTGCCAGGCAGCCAGCCAGGCAGCCAGCCAGGCAGCCAGCCAGGCAGCCAGTCAGCCAGCCAGCCAGCCAGCCAGCCAGCCAACCAGCCAGCCAGCCAGCCAGCCAGCCAGTCAGCCAGCCAGCCAGCCAGCCAGCCAGCCAGCCAGCCAGCCAGCCAGCCAACCAGCCAACCAGCCAACCAGCCAGTCAGCCAGCCAGCCAGCCAGCCAGCCAGCCAGTCAGCCAGCCAGTCAGCCAGCCAGCCAGCCAGCCAGCCAGCCAGCCAGCCAACCAGCCAACCAGCCAACCAGCCAACCAGCCAACCAGCCAGCCAGCCAGCCAGCCAGCCAGCCAGCCAACCAACCAGCCAACCAGCCAACCAGCCAGCCAGCCAGCCAGCCAGCCAGCCAGCCAACCTTCATTGTCACACGACGGGCCCCTTGAATCTGGTGTGTGGTGCTCGATAACTTCGACCCTAAAACGAGCGTCTATTTTCTCCTCAGTCACCCACACTCTGTCTCCAACACCGAGAAGTTACCTGAAATGACTTCCATCCTTCAGGTCGGAATTTTGGCCATGAAACTGTGCGAAGTCAACGAAGTGAATCCCAGACACCCTCTTACCTGGCAAAGTTAAGTCCAGTTTACTCAGTTGGTCCGGGACAGCAACCAACAGCCCAGGTTGACTAGACCAACGAGGAGTCCTAGTAAGAGACCGGGCCGCAGGGACGCTGAGTCACAAAAACCACCTCAGGGTACCCTCAAGATAACGCTCCTTGCTTCATTAACGAGATGACATGTCGATAACCTAATGCTCTGTACACGTGCCTGTTCATAGTTCATCGAAAAGACGGGAGATGACAACCACAGATTTGACGTGAGTCCAAATACTATTAAATTCATTCAAGACCAAAAGTTCTTTAATTTAATCGTTCCTGTTTATGAATGATACTATTTTTTTTCCACGTGACCGATTTTTACGAGGAGTTATAGAAAACTGCTGCATTCAATTGCTGTGATTCAATTCATTCAACCAATCTGATTGAAAATGACTTTCATTCAAATCAGATTATTTTAGATTCAGGAAACACCTAGGTAAAGGCTGGTTCAGAAATAGTGTTGATTTATGGAACAAATAATACCGGGTATTATAATAGTAGTGATGTCGGTGGATTGTTTCAAGCGAAGATTAAACATGTATATGAATGAGTGGGTGGAAGTCAAAGAGGAACTGACTCGTGTCGGTTAAAGAGACCTTATGCGGGTTATTTTACTCCAGTGTTTAAGGCCTCAGCTCCATATAAAACACAAGCCAAAAACTTTAACTCTACAAACAGCAGCAGCGGAGAAGCAGCATCAGTCAGGAGAAACAGACGCTTTTGTGAGGCGCTGAGTTCTTTAGAGAGGAGGTGAGGGAGGTGTGTGAGGGGTGGGTGAGGGGTGTGTGAGGGGTGGGTGAGGGCGGTGGGTGAGGGGTGGGTGAGGGCGTGTCTGGGGGTGAAGAGAGGTTTACTGCAAGATGAGGTCCCGGGGGAGAGGAGGAGAAGAGCACGAAGAGGTTGCAGGGAGCATTGAAGGATGAATTTAGGGAGGAATAAAGAAAATAATGGAGTAAAGTAGAAGGAAACAAAAGCCAAGGAGGAAAAAAATGGAAGGACGTAGGGAGGAGAGAATGAAGCAAGGTTTACCTTCCGAGTGTGAGGTCTAGGTCTTCCCTCGAGTATTAAGACATTTGTGTGTTATTTTCCGCCTCGACGAGGATTTCTTGCCTTTTCTTGAAGCTGCAACTAAATGTCTACCATTTGTAGTGAAGTTCCTGACAGAGAAACACAATATTTCTGTACAAGGCAGGAGACAGAGGCCTGTTGACAAGATCACTAACGACAACAAAATGTATTAGGTATGATTTAATGCTTCGTCAGAGTCTAATCTCAGTTACCCAAAATTATAGTGCAATCTGTAGAATCCTGCAAGTGCCTGTAGAATCCAGGGACGCTGGTGCGATCCCATCGTATGACCTCTATATTTTATAATACATACCCACTTTTTGTGAATTAATTGTGTCTCAAATATTCTACATTCTGATGACATGTTCGTCTTTATGTTAATGGCTAGCTTGAACGACAGGTTTTGGTCCAGAGTGTTGACTGCTGGAAGTGCATCAAGAGTTTCTATGTGGCCTTAATAACCCTCTCGAGGTTGATCGACCTTAAACGCAACCCAAATCTTGCAACCCGTCCTCATTTCAGGAGGACGGGTTGCAAAATTTGCAACTATTTGGTGGAAAGTACCAATATGTAGTGATGGTCCGCCAATAATGGACTTTTTGTACTTTTAATTTTATAGTCAGTAAAAAAATAACAAATTTATTTGTAGGCTTGGTACAGTACATATATATTAGGACTGGAATTGCTATGAGAGGTTGGGTTAAGTCTCTATTTACGTTGCAGTTAAAAAAATAATAATTTAGCCAAATTCAGTAATACAATACGTGAATTTTCTGGTGGTCCATCACAATATATTAGTAGCTGCGAGAACATAGTTAAAATAAGTACTTTTCCTCTTAGGAAGAGTGGTTAAATGTTGTGTGTAAGTTGTACTCCACCTCCCATACAATATTATGAAATGTTGTGTGCAAGTTGTACTCCTCCTCCCATACAACATTATGAAATGTTGTGTGCAAGTTGTACTCCTCCTCCCATACAACATTATGAAATGTTGTGTGTAAGTTGTACTCCTCCTCCCATACAACATTATGAAATGTTGTGTGTAAGTTGTACTCCACCTCCCATACAACATTATGAAATGTTGTGTGTAAGTTGTACTCCACCTCCCATACAACATTATGAAATGTTGTGTGTAAGTTGTACTCCACCTCCCATACAACATTATGAAATGTTGTGTGTAAGTTGTACTTCTCCTCCCATACAACATTATGAAATGTTGTGTGTAAGTTGTACTCCTCCTCCCATACAATATTATGAAATGTTGTGTGCAAGTTGTACTCCTCCTCCCATACAACATTATGAAATGTTGTGTGCAAGTTGTACTCCTCCTCCCATACAACATTATGAAATGTTGTGTGTAAGTTGTACTCCTCCTCCCATACAACATTATGAAATGTTGTGTGTAAGTTGTACTCCACCTCCCATACAACATTATGAAATGTTGTGTGTAAGTTGTACTCCACCTCCCATACAACATTATGAAATGTTGTGTGTAAGTTGTACTCCACCTCCCATACAACATTATGAAATGTTGTGTGTAAGTTGTACTTCTCCTCCCATACAACATTATGAAATGTTGTGTGTAAGTTGTACTCCTCCTCCCATACAACATTATGAAATGTTGTGTGTAAGTTGTACTCCTCCTCCCATACAACATTATGAAATGTTGTGTGTAAGTTGTACTCCTCCTCCCATACAACATTATGAAATGTTGTGTGTAAGTTGTACTCCTCCTCCCATACAACATTATGAAATGTTGTGTGTAAGTTGTACTCCTCCTCCCATACAACATTATGAAATGTTGTGTGTAAGTTGTACTTCTCCTCCCATACAACATTATGAAACAAGACGTATGTATTGTCTCCGAGTGTGACGCTGCCACACTAACCCAAGAGCAGGTATACAGTTATATGTGGCACGTCTCTGGAGCCAGGTGTTAAAGTAATTACAGAGCGAACTATTTGGGGTCACAGGTCATCTAGCAACGACTTACGAAACCTGTACATCTTTCTTTAATTATGGGGACTTTGTTTACATTTATTAGACAGTTTACGAGCTGGGAAACTTCACAACCAACGGATATTATTGTTATAAACAACCTCGTAGCGCTTTGAAGCTCATCAACTGATGACTAAATGTAAACAAAGCCGCCATGATTCAGGAAAGATGTACAGGTTTCGTAAGCAATTGCGCAAAAGCTAGACGAATCCCGGCACAGTTACATTGTTCCCCAGGAGAAGATTATCTCAGTCGTAGCCTTCAGCAGTAAAGAGCCTGCCTCGGGAGACCCTCCCCGTGCTGGGGCTCACCCCCCCCCACTATTACACTGTTTCATGCCGTTTAACGCGACTGTATCATAAACCTGACGCGTCTTCCTGCTGGTGCTCCGTCAGGTGCCCCGAGGGAAGCCTCATCACGCAGTTCGTGTATAACGAGACGGCAGGAACCGCGGAGGCTGTGCTTGACAGGATGTTCCGCTTCCCCACCTCCAACAGGGTCCACTTCCAGTGTGACGTCCTCATCTGCAAGGGTGAGTCTTCACTCTGGCATATATATTCATCCTGCTCTTCTTATATGGGTATACTTGTGTTAGTATCCTTGTCCCTATATGCAGGGGGGTACTAACGTTAGTATCCTTGTCCCTATATGCAGGGGGTACTAACGTTAGTATCCTTGTCCCTATATGCAGGGGGTACTAACGTTAGTATCCTTGTCCCTATATGCAGGGGTACTAACGTTAGTATCCTTGTCCCTATATGCAGGGGGTACTAACGTTAGTATCCTTGTCCCTATATGCAGGGGGTACTAACGTTAGTATCCTTGTCCCTATATGCAGGGGGTACTAACGTTAGTATCCTTGTCCCTATATGCAGGGGGTACTAACGTTAGTATCCTTGTCCCTATATGCAGGGGGTACTAACGTTCTTATCCTTGTCCCTATATGCAGGGGGTACTAACGTTAGTATCCTTGTCCCTATATGCAGGGGGTACTAACGTTAGTATCCTTGTCCCTATATGCAGAGGGTACTAACGTTAGTATCCTTGTCCCTATATGCAGGGGGTACTAACGTTCGTATCCTTGTCCCTATATGCAGGGGGTACTAACGTTAGTATCCTTCTCCCTATATGCGGGGGGTACTAACGTTAGTATCCTTGTCCCTATATGCAGAGGGTACTAACGTTAGTATCCTTGTCCCTATATGCAGGGGGTACTAACGTTAGTATCCTTGTCCCTATATGCAGGGGGTACTAACGTTAGTATCCTTGTCCCTATATGCAGGGGGTACTAACGTTAGTATCCTTGTCCCTATATGCGGGGGGTACTAACGTTAGTATCCTTGTCCCTATATGCAGAGGGTACTAACGTTAGTATCCTTGTCCCTATATGCAGGGGGTACTAACGTTAGTATCCTTGTCCCTATATGCAGAGGGTACTAACGTTAGTATCCTTGTCCCTATATGCAGAGGGTACTAACGTTCGTATCCTTGTCCCTATATGCAGGGGGTACTAACGTTAGTATCCTTGTCCCTATATGCAGGGGGTACTAACGTTAGTATCCTTGTCCCTATATGCAGAGGGTACTAACGTTAGTATCCTTGTCCCTATATGCAGGGGTACTAACGTTAGTATCCTTGTCCCTATATGCAGGGGGTACTAACGTTAGTATCCTTGTCCCTATATGCAGAGGGTACTAACGTTAGTATCCTTGTCCCTATATGCAGGGGGTACTAACGTTAGTATCCTTGTCCCTATATGCAGGGGGTACTAACGTTAGTATCCTTGTCCCTATATGCAGGGGGTACTAACGTTAGTATCCTTGTCCCTATATGCAGAGGGTACTAACGTTAGTATCCTTGTCCCTATATGCAGGGGGTACTAACGTTCGTATCCTTGTCCCTATATGCAGGGGGTACTAACGTTAGTATCCTTCTCCCTATATGCGGGGGTACTAACGTTAGTATCCTTGTCCCTATATGCAGAGGGTACTAACGTTAGTATCCTTGTCCCTATATGCAGAGGGTACTAACGTTAGTATCCTTGTCCCTATATGCAGAGGGTACTAACGTTCGTATCCTTGTCCCTATATGCAGGGGGTACTAACGTTAGTATCCTTGTCCCTATATGCAGGGGGTACTAACGTTAGTATCCTTGTCCCTATATGCAGAGGGTACTAACGTTAGTATCCTTGTCCCTATATGCAGGGGGTACTAACGTTAGTATCCTTGTCCCTATATGCAGGGGGTACTAACGTTAGTATCCTTGTCCCTATATGCAGGGGGTACTAACGTTAGTATCCTTGTCCCTATATGCAGGGGGTACTAACGTTAGTATCCTTGTCCCTATATGCAGGGGGTACTAACGTTAGTATCCTTGTCCCTATATGCAGGGGGTACTAACGTTAGTATCCTTGTCCCTATATGCAGGGGGTACTAACGTTAGTATGCTTGTTAACTCTGTTAGTTTTCAGATTTATCCATATACAATTTTTGTTAACCTAAAATTGACCTAATTTAATATTTGTTGTTTAAAGAGGAAAGTAATATTATCCTCTTTAACATACTCTTAAGGATTAGAGTTTTAAACCATTAACAGAAAGTTATTGTTTTCCAATATTCCAGAGAAGCCTTCCATACTGTGTGTTCCTCTCCCTCCTTGCTCTCTCCCACACTCTCCCCTCCCTCCTTGCTCTCTCCCACGCTCTCCCCTCCCTCCTCGCCTTCTCCCACACTCTCCCCTCCCTCCCAGCTCTCTCCCACACTCCCCCTCCCCTCTCCCTCCCTTGCTCTCTTCCACACTCTCCCCTCCCTCCATTTCTCTCTCCCACTCTCTCCCCCTCCTCCCTTGCTCTCTCCCACGCTCTCCCCTCCCTTGCTCTCTCCCCTTGCTCTCTCCCACACTCTCCTCTCCTCCCTTCCCCTCTCCCACACTCTCCCCTCCTTCCTTCCTCTCTCCCACACTCTCCTCTCCCTCCTTCCTCTCTCCCCTCCCACCTTGCTCTCTCCCACACTCTTCCCTCCTCCCTTGCTCTCTCCCACACTCTCCCCCTCCCTTCTTGCTCTCTCCCACACTCTCCCCTCCCTTGCTCTCTCCTCCCTTGCTCTCTCCTACACTCTCCACTCCCTCCTTGCTCTCTCCCACACTCTCCCCTCCTCCCTTCCTCTCTCCCACACTCTTCCATCCTCCCTACCTCTCTCTCACACTCTCCCCCTTCCCCCTCTCCTCTTCTCCTCGCACTCGTTCCTCCATTAACGTCACTCTCACTCTCCACCTCAATGTCTCTTCTCGTGTTTCTGTCGCCTTTGATTTTCAGTCACTCGAGCCCTCTCTGCTGGACTCTCACACTCTCCCTCCCCCTCTCTCCCTCCCTCCCTCCCTCTCTCCATCTCTCTCTCCCCCCTTCCACTCTCTCTCTCTCTCTCTCTCTCTCTCTCTCTCTCTCTCTCTCTCTCTCTCTCTCTCTCTCTCTCTCTCTCTCTCTCTCTCTCTCTCTCTCTCTCGTCCCCATTCTTCCACCTCCATATATAACCTCTCCCCTCATCCTTTTCTTTCCTCTTCTCCATTACGTCCTTCTATCCAATCGTCCTCGACACCTCTCCTTGCCCTTCTCTCTTCCCTTCCGCCCACTTTTAGTTTTCCGTCTGTCTCTTGACATGTGTCTCCTCTGGAGGTGCTCCTCGGGGTATGGCGGGATGGAGGTGTCTCCTTCGGACTTGAAAAAGGGACGTAGGGTGTTTCTGCATCCCACTATTATAGCCATTTGTTGTTTTTTTATGTTCTCTCAACCCTTCTAGTAATAATGTTGTTGCATTAATAACCCTTCCCCCCCATCCTTGATGACCTGACCTGACCTGTGGGTGCCCCCAGGACCGTGTGCCAGCGAGCGGTGTGAGGGCCAGCCGGAGCGTCTGACGGTGGTGCAGGGGCGGGCACTCCCGGACTCCGACGCCAACAGCGTGGAGGAGAAGTCCGGTCGGGTTCAGGCGACCACCACCGTGTATGTCGTGGAGCCCACCTCAGCTGGTGAGTCCCGGGGTGAGGCACGGAGGCTGCCAGGTAGGTAGGGAGACGGGCGGGGAGTTAAGCTGGGTGGCGGAGAGCTAGAGACAGTTGTAGATACCTAGATATAGTGGCAGATAGCTAGAGACAGTTGTAGATACCTAGATATAGTGGCAGATAGCTAGATATAGTGGCTGATAGCTAGAGACAGTTGTAGATACCTAGATATAGTGGCAGATAGCTAGATATAGTGGCAGATAGCTAGAGACAGTGGCAGATAGCTAGATATAGTGGCAGATAGCTAGAGACAGTGGCAGATAGCTAGATATAGTGGCAGATAGCTAGATATAGTGGCAGATAGCTAGATATAGTGGCAGATAGCTAGATATAGTGGCATACAGCTAGATATAGTGGCAGATAGCTAGAGACAATTGCAGATAGCTAGAGTGGGGAACAGCTAGGGTGGGTGGCAGATAGGGAGAGTGCGGGATAAGAAGAGAGGTGGAAAGGGAGGAAAGGATGGATGAGGATGGAAGGGTTGTGGCAGAGACATGAACGCCACTCTCATAACGCGACGCCAATATACGAACAAGGAGAGAAGACATGCTATAAGAGGTAACATATTTCTGTAAGGATCAATCTATTAATTGACTTCTCCTGCCTATATCTGGTGAAGGAGGCGTTACCCAATGGTAACTCCAAAACGTGCCCCAGTCTCAGTGCAGGTAGCTGTCCTGATATTTTCCTAATATCTACCTTTTGGGTAGATACCTTTTGGGTAGATACCGTTTGGGTAGATACCTTTTGGGTAGATACCTTTTGGGTAGATACCGGTGACAGAACTGGCGTAGGACACTGGCCCAGCAGGAGCGTCTCACTCGGGCAGCGTGTGAAGGCTGCCCGTATGAGGCGGGCCTCACATAACAGCCGTTGTTGCCTCGGCGTTTTCCAACATCTTGACATAAAAGATTGACTAACCAAGTCACCTCGGGAGGAGAGGGAACGTGATGGATTTAAAATGTAAAATACATACCAGAGAGAAGTGATTAATTGACGCTTGTACTGTCTGTGACAGTGTGTGCATGCATGCGAGCGCGCATGAAAGAGAGAGAGAGAGAGAGAGAGAGAGAGAGAGAGAGAGAGAGAGAGAGAGAGAGAGAGAGAGAGAGAGAGAGAGAGAGAGAGAGAGAGAGAGAGAGAGAGAGAGAGAGAGAGAGAGAGAGAGAGAGAGAGAGAGAGAGAGAGAGAGAGAGAGAGAGAGAGAGAGAGAGAGAGAGAGAGAGAGAGAGAGAGAGAGAGAGAGAGAGAGAGAGAGAGAGAGAGAGAGAGAGAGAGAGAGAGAGAGAGAGAGAGAGAGAGAGAGAGAGAGACAGAGAGAGAGAGAGAGAGAGAGAGAGAGAGAGAGAGAGAGAGAGAGAGAGAGAGAGAGAAAGAGAGAGAGGCAGGAAGGAAGGACTGAAGAGATTAATTTTGAATGCACCTCACATGCCAGGTCGTATTTCACTTGTTTTCCTCACTTTTTTCACCATCAAATACCATTTACATTTTTCTCAGTGTGAGGGGAGAGGAAGGAGGGAGGTACTGAAAGAAAGCAGCGAGAGAGGGAGGAGAAAGCAACTTACTCCCTGATCTGAAATCTCTTCTCTTAATTTTAACTTTGTTTCCCCTTGCTTGCACACCTTTTCGCTTCCCTTTACCTGCCCTAACTTCTCCCTCACTTCCCCGGAATAACTTAGTCAAAACTTACCACTTAATGTACCCCCGTTCTGCCACCCTTTCTCTCACCCTCACTGCCTTTTCTTCTGTTCTCCCTAATTTCAATTTTTGATCCCCCCTCTCTCTTCCCCCTTCCTACTCTTGCCCCCTCTCCTTCTCTAATCCTCTTTCTACCATCCGTTCGTGCCCCTTTCTTTTCTTTAGCGTCCTCTCTAATGTTTTCTGCCTTCACCTCCGTGTCTTCTATTCTTTCTCCCGCTTAAATTCGTGTAAGGATTTTATATAATATATATATATATATATATATATATATATATATATATATATATATATATATATACATATATATACACATATACATATATATACATATATATATATATATATATATATATATATATATATATATATATATATATATATATATATATATATATATATATATATATATATATATATATGTCGTACCTAGTAGCCAGAACGCACTTCTCAGCCTACTATGCAAGGCCCGATTTGCTTAATAAGCCAAGTTTTCATGAATTAATGTTTTTTCGACTACCTAACCTAACCTAACCTAACCTAACCTACCTTTTTCGGCTACGTAACCGAACCTAACCTATAAAGATAGGTTAGGTTAGGTTAGGTAGGGTTGGTTAGGTTCGGTCATATATCTACGTTAATTTTAACTCCAATATAAAAAATTGACCTCATACATAATGAAATGGGTAGCTTTATAATTTCATAAGAAAAAAATTAGAGAAAATATATTAATTCAGGAAAACTTGGCTTATTAGGCAAATCGGGCCTTGCATAGTAGGCTGAGAAGTGCGTTCTGGCTACTAGGTACGACATATATATATGTATATATATATATATATATATATATATATATATATATATATATATATATATATATATATATATATATATATAATCCTGTGCCTATTATATACTCAAGGTTCCTGTGTATCATGTGGATGCTGGAATACCATGATGTCCAGTGTGCCTTCGTTATAGTTTTCTCGTTAATTCAGAATATATATCTTCATTTGTGTGTGTATGTGCGCGTGTGCGGTGCGTATGTGCGCGTGCATGCGTGTGCGTGGTCACGTAATTGTCTGGTGTTCACATGGTGGAACACCTGTTCTCCGGCCTTTATACCATCAGTAATTCCACGCAGTGACATCACTCTTTTCAATAATATTTACATTTAAAAGCGGTGTTTCGTACACGCGACAATTCAATCCATACAGTTTCGGGAACATAGCCCAGTACGACAACAAATAGTTAGTTTATCTCTATAATGTTCTTGTATTTCCTTTCGTTCCTCACCATGGCGCTCATACTCCCACAAAATATGTCAGCTTAGGTGTTTACTCAGAGCTTGTCAAGTGATATCACAGAAGCAGCCATTTGTTTTATAGTCTCACTGAAAAGTTTGTCCTCCGTTTTCTTTCATCTAGCGTGCATCATTCCCAAGTATTAGCAAAGATAAGCGATCAATAATTCTCATTTCATCACGCGTAGTTTCAATATGATACGGAAGATCCAAGTGAGTAATATTATCATTATTATCATAATCCTAATCCGGTCGGTAGTGCGCGTGCCTGAGGAGTCCATGGTCGCGGGTTCGATCAGATCATACGGCTGCAATATATATAAATATATATATATATATATATATATATATATATATATATATATATATATATATATATATATATATATATATATATATATATATATATATATATATATATATTACTGATGAGATCATCAGCGATCTCTTAAGCTGTGTAATAGTTTGGTGCAGATATTCCTGAAAAATCCCGTTTTCTAATAAATCTGGATAACTATAACAAATTGCTTAGGTTCGTCTCTGATAAAATACCGTGATACGTATTGCACTAAGTTGCAGAATGAACAAACACAACTAATCTTAACAAGTCTCAAAGTATGTGACTTGTTAAACTCTTTCATGCGAGATATTATTCGAATTATCATCTAAAAGTCTCATTTCTAGCGATTTCATCTTGTTTAACAAAGGGACGCACACATTCCTCCCTCCTCCAACACACGGTTTATTCATTATGTAGTTAAGGCCAGAGGCGCCTTTAGCCAAATAAACTCAGGGATCTGTATGGCTAATGATTTAACCGGAAAATCGCGTGTTTTCCGAGGTACGTCTTCCACTGCCGGCGCCCGGGTGCTGGGCCGCCTGTGGGGTCCAGCGGAGACACCTGCTGTGGTAATCGGCCCGGGATTAAGCAGTTATTTTCCGCAAGTAGTCAAGGAATAAATCACAATAAAGTCTGAAAACCACCAAACACACACACAAGTGCCAACGACGACGTTTCGGTCCATCCTGGGCACTAATTAAGCCGAGAGAACAGCACATGTCTACTTACTAAGCTTCGAGCACGGACCGAAACGTCGTTACTTCCTTTCTGTGTGTGTGTGTGTGTGTGTGTGTGTGTGTGTGTGTGTGTGTGTGTGTGTGTGTGTGTGTGTGTGTGTGTGTGTGTGTGTGTGTGTGTGTTGGGATTGCGTTAGTTGCCTACATGTGTTCTAGTCACAAGAGTATATATAAGAAAACTTTGTACATAATATCTTTCATAAGGGTTATTTGACATAGCCTTCGGAATACATAGATTTATCTCTTTTCGTGTAAATAATTTGTTTGCATATGAATCAAGTAGGCTTTCGCGTCCTTGCACCCCACACGCATGATTACCTGTAGGTGATGCTTGTGTTCCTAGACTCGTCTCAGGGCGACGGCCTGGGGGTGTGGGCGGGCATCATCTCCCGGGTACGGAGATGATGCATTAACATATGTATCTTCTCGCAGCACCCCGACAAAATGATGATATGGGGGAACGAAGAACAGATTTCTACACCAAAACCCACCTGTTCCTCAGTGGGGCGCGAGGCAGCAGCGAGCCCAGAGGCAGGCGGACATTATCTCAACCGCGAAATAGGTGGGCGCAGTCACTACCGTCAAGAGAGAAAGGGGACTTAGAGCACCTTGCCCGGACTTTGTACCAGAAGTCACGCACGCCCCCAGCCCACTATGGCTCCTCCAAGTTGCTGCCTCCAAACTTAATCTTATAATAATAACTCTGGTCCATTCTGCCGCCAAGTCTTGCGGCCGTTATTGTAAATAATGTGGACCGCATTGCGAAAAGTTGTGAAGTAAATCAAGCTCCAGACTCGGAGAACAGTGAATGGGTTATAACACAGGGAATGTGTCGAGGAAGCCAGGTAAACATGTTATATAAGCCTTGAATTAATAGGAAAGCTTTGCTTTGTTTGCCCTTTAACAGTTGTATGTCATTCATCTTAAGTCATACAACACTGTACAACACTGTGTGTGTATATATATGCTTATATTTCTCGCGCGCACGCACGCACACACACAAGCCAGGTCGACATAAGAACTATTATATAGCAGTAATCATTGACTTTCAAAGGTAACAAAATACCCTGGTGTTAAAATATCAACAGGTCTTACCCCTGAAGCACAAACAAACTCAAAATCGTCAGTCACATATGCTAAACTGTCGGCATATTACAACCTTCAGCAACCTTCGTAACTAGGCCTTCAGAATTATGTAACCTACGTGAGACCATCCTAGAGTGTGCAGACCCAGCGTGGAGCGAACATCCGGAGGAACAAAATGAAACTTAGTGGTGCACAAGTTTACGACAAACTTGGTTCCATAACTACGTGATATGGGATGTGTGGACAAGTTGAAGCAGCTGTACCTAACGATTTTATGAAAGCTAACGGAGACGCGGTATAGACATACAAAATACTTGACACATTCTTGAACTGTTTTTTTTATGTTTGAAATAATTAAATGGAAAGGCCTGGATGGAAATTAATAGCCACAGGGATGCAAGAGGATACTTCTTAGTACAACTAAGAAGTACTTAGTTGTGTTGCTGATCACAACTTAGCATCACAACTAAGTTGCTAAGTTGTGTTCAGCAACTTATTAAGCGTAAGAGTTGCTGAACACTGTAATAAACTACCAGAAGAAATTGTAGACAACTTCATGTACAACTTCGAAGGCAAATGTAATAGGAATAAAAGGTGAGGAGACGGTACATGACCGACTGCTGGAGTGGCGGGATCCTACAACTGAACTTGGCTCTCCATACAAGCGATAATGAGAGAGTTTAGACGAGTACAAAAGCATATCATGATCCAGTCTAAATGCCTTTTTTCTTACGTACTTCTCTTAATCTCGCAAGAGAATAATATCGTGCTACTCTAAAGGTTCCGCCAGGAGTAAGTGCTTTGAAAACCATTCAGGAATTGTATAGAAGTGAGTACTTTCCCCGACACAATCACAGGTCTGGTATATCAACAAGTTTACTGAAATCAAAACCACACTGTCAAACTGTTATCGTCAGATTATTAATATCAAAACCTGAGGTTAGTAACAAAACATCAGATTGGTATCAATGCACCTTCACCTTTCGAGTTTTGGCCTCTTCATCAATGAGTCATAATTGTCCTCGTGGCGTAGTGGTAAAACATTCGTTCGGCGCTTCACGAGCGCATTGGCCTGGGTTCGTATCCTGGCTGGGGAGGATTTACTGAGGGCCAATCTTTAACTTCAGCCTCTGTTCACCCAGCAGTGAATGAGTACCTAGATGTTAAATGATTTGGCGGGTCGTATACAGGGGAAAAAATTGGACTAAGGACCTGGCTGAAAAGCTATGCGTGCTGGCGGCTTTACAAGAATGTAAGAACTCTTGTTTAAATAAATAAATAAATAAATAAATAAATAAATAAATAAATAAATAAATAAATAAATAAATAAATATATAAATAAATAAAGAGTCCAGTGGAAACTTGGGGCATGTGGTATAATTCCCGTGGCCTTGGACTTGAGGGTACGCGTGCGAGAGCCAATATTGGTATTATCCGATTCCCATAAAGTGCTCCATAATGATTATCCTTATACGAGGGGGTCTGGGCCACCCATCATTCCCTGGATGTCTAGTCACATCGACGACGAATACAATGATTGTCTTCGGAAGATATTCGAAAATATGTTCGGCGGCTAACTCTTCAAACAGTTCGAAAAATTGTTCGAAGTTAAGGCCTTCCCTGGCCTCGGATTTAAAGAATGTACTCACTTCGTTGTACTCACAAAGTTGTGCTTGCGGAGGTTGAGCTTTGGTTCTTTGGTCCCGCCTCTCAACCGTCAATCAACTGATGTTCAGATTCCTGAGCCTATTTGGCTCTATCATATCGACATTTGAAACTGTGTATGGAGTCAGTCTCCACCACATCACTTCCTAATGCATTATATTTACTAACTACTCTGACACTGAAAAAGTTCTTTCTAACGTCTCTGTGGCTCATTTGGGTAGGGAGTTTCCACCTGTGTCCCCTTGTTCGTGTACCACCCGTGTTAAATAATCCACTCATTTCTACCCTATATGGGTAACTGGGCAAATGCTAAGGACCGCGAGGACCCGTGAACTCAAGTGGGACGTCCTGTGAACTCTTACACTGTAGCTCCTTGGCGTTTATAATCCATTCTTGAAGGTTAATTACATTATACCTAGCGTATACCTGGAGTTCTACTCCTCAAGCCCGGCTTGAAGGCAGGCTTGTTTAGTGATAACATTATTGAAAAGACTGTTGCTTGGAGCGACTCGCAGGCCCATATATCCACTACAACTCTGTTGGTCCGCCATTTTCTGAAGAAACGTGTATAATTATTTTGTGAACACGTCCACCTTTATATCCCTAATATTTATTTTGTTTCTGATTATTGAAAGTAAAAGAATCATTTGACTTACACCCATGGTAATCCCTCACAAGCCGAGGTGTGTGTGTGTGTGTGTGTGTGTGTGTGTGTGTGTGTGTGTGTGTGTGTGTGTGTGTGTGTGACCTAGACGCAGACACAGGGTCCCATGCCAGGTGTGAGGAAACTGGCCTAATAGTCTGGCCTAATAGTCTGGTCTGATAGTCTGGTCTGATAGTCTAGTCTGATAGTCTGGTCTGATAGTCTGACCTGATAGTCTGGCCTCATAATCTGGCCTGATAGTCTGGCATATCTGAACGTGTGTTGCTCCTGCAGGTGCAGCCTCGTGCGACTGGTACCCTCCGTGGCTCTGGATCCTGTGCATCGTGCTGGCCGTCCTCTTCATCATCATGATGATCATCAACATCTTCCTGTGCTCTGCCATGACCTGCTCCTGCACCAAGTCCGAGGTCATAGAGAAGGAGCCCTCCATCATCGAGGAGTACGACCCCTACCGCTCCTGGCACGGCTCCCAGTACGGCTCAAGGTTAGTAGTGCCCAGGTGGCCTGGTTCACGGCTAGGGTACTGGTAGTGGCTTGGGGTTGGCGGGAGGTGTTGGTGTGAGGGGGAATGTCGGGGATGAGTTTGGGGTTCTGATAAAGGAATCAGGAATGAGAGGGGGGAAAGGGATAGAGGGAAAGGAGGGAAGTGAAAAGGGAAGTGAAAAGGGTAGAGGAAAATGTTGGGGAGATATGAGGGATGGATAGAACTCATTAGGCTCAGCTATTACTAAAGTTATGCTAATTACGTACACTGGACTTTGAAAGAAGAATTGTCAAATTGTTCAAGTGTTCAAACAAGTAACTGTTGACTTTTAGTGAAATTCGAATCTCTTAACAAGATGCAAGGTATTTTCAAAGTAGCAGGAACTATAATAATAATATTTATAGTGTTTACAAGCGAACATGTTACAGTGGTTACCCGGTGCAGCAATTATATATTATATGATACCACGAATTATTCCCAGAGTTTCAGGCATAAAACTAGATGTCTAGAGTATAGTGTTTAAAATGACATGACGGATCTAGCAGACACAATACGCTCATGTGCAATATGTCCATTTTATATATATTATGTCATCTTTATAGCCAAGATATGTCACACTGCGGGACTCATATCTGCCAACAATTCTCAACTTTGCTGCTATGTTGTCGATTTTATCGTTTTTTTGCTGAATAAAGGCGATTTGCGTGCGTTGTGTACATTCGCACGTGTGTGTGTGTGTGTGTGTTTACCTTTTGGTACTCACCTGTTTGTGAATCTGGATTGAGCTTCAGTTCTTGGACCCAATCTCATCAGTCGTCGGTCTATTAATGCAATGACTAACCATTTAGTTGTCACTTGCCTGCTATGGACATTGTAAATAAAGTTGACTTCAACTACCTCCCGATTTAGTTCAATTCATTTTTCTACTACTACTATTATTATAAAAGAAATACACATATCTATGGCTTATCTGTGGGTATAGCACACTCCATGCCGTCTTGTTCTATTGATATTCACCTGTAAATATTTCCTCTTGTTTCCACACAGTCAATTCCCCTTTGTATTTCATGTCTCAACCACATCTTTCTTTTTCTATCCTCAAAGTCCAGCTCTTTCAAACCTTCTCTACATCCCATCCCACGTAATTCTGGGACGGACTTCGTTGCAAGCCTCTACCTTTCCCAGTGTTCTCAAATGGTTTCTGTAATGGTGGCTGTGCGACAGGTTCCATAATCTAAGACTTGTCGCATATAAATAATGGACAGTGTTCAGAACACTGAAGGTTCCTCTGATGTTCACCGGTTTAGAGAAAGCTGTTGTTATTCTATTTACATTTGTTTCTGGGGTAAGGCTGTGTTATATCTACTGCTAGACCTGTTTCCTTTACTTCACCACCAGGCAGGTGATTTTGCCTTTATTATGTACCGTCCGGCTACTGAGTCACTGAGATCAACAATAGGGCCACAGTGGTGACTTGTGGCCCACTGGTGGTGGGTAGGGCTTGTGCACATTGTGGTAAGTTGTCTGTGTCCTGCAGCTCTAGTTTCGTCTTGTACCTGTAGTTGATTAGTTTCTCCCTTATCTTAATATTTGTACAGTATCTCATTATGGGTTACAGCTCTTGTTTCCATCACTGGGACTGATGAAGGGTAGTAGGTTTTGTGGTGGGTGGTGTGTACTCACCTAATTGTGCTTGCGGGGGTTGAACTCTGGCTCTTTGGTCGTGTGTGTGTGTGTGTGTGTGTGTGTGTGTGTGTGTGTGTGTGTGTGTGTGTGTGTGTGTGTACTCACCTAGTTGTACTTGCGGGAGTTGAGCTTTGGCTGTTTGGTCGCGCCTCTCGACTATCAATCAACTAGTGTACAGATTCTGGTGCATACTGGGCTATTGCAAATCTACATTTGAAACTGTGTATGGAGTCAGCCTCCACCACATCACTGCTTAATGCATTCCATTTGTTAACTACTCTGACACTGAAAAAATTCTTTCTAATGTCTCTGTGGCTCTTCTGGGTACTAAGTTTCCACCTGTGTCCCCTTGTTCGTGCACCAGTGCTAATAGTTCGTCTTTGTCCACCCTGTCAATTCCCCTGAGAATTTTTGTAAGTGGTCATCATGTCTCCCCTAACTCTTCCGTCTTTCAGGGCCGTGTGTGTGTGTGTGTGTTTTTTAACTCGTACCTACATGTCTACAGCCGTCCATATTAGTACATATCGATAGGCTTTATAAACCTCAAACTCCTCAACCCCCCATTCATCAACCACCCCCCCCCCCCGCCCGCGGCCAACCCCACCCTCACATTTTTTGTTTAAAGAAATATATCGTCAGCCATATTTTTGGGAAGCACGCCGTGACCGGCCGCCCGCCCGGCATTAAGCGTGACAGATCATATCACAAATATTGCGTCTCCCGCCACAACCAACAAAGACCCGTGTCGCCTGCATAATCTTCTGCCTCACTGAAGGAGTTTTTTATATAATGCCGTGATAAAGGTGAGCAGCGGCGAGAGTTAGCGCCTTGCGGTCACTGCCTTCAGGGGTGTTGTAGGAGGGGGGGGGGGGGGGGTGGTGTTGGGGAGGGGGTGTTGCGGGAGGGGGGGGGGAGGTGTGGGTGCTGGGGTGGGGAGGTTGTGGGATGGGGGGGGGGGAGGTGTGGGTGCTGGGGGGGGGAGGTTGTGGGATGGGGGGGGGGGAGGTGTGGGTGCTGGGGAGTTGTAGGTGTTACTGCTGCTCAGTGTATTACAAGGCACTCTGGCCCCACACAGAGTGCCACACACTCAGGTCGGGCTGTGTTGACGTACTCCAGGATGACTTTCACTCTCAACACGGCTGTATGACTTGTGATTAAAGAAATGTTCGACATACACTACACACAGAAATCACAATAGCGTGATGCATCATATGGACAAATTCACAAGGGCCGTGATGAGGGTTCGAACCTACGTCCGAGAGGATCCCAGACGCGCCTTAATTGACTGTGCCACGACATGGTTAAAAGAATTGCAACCGGGAGTTCTCCTGACCTCACACGGATCCTGCAGTTTCTCAGAGTCGATTAAGACGCGTCTGGGATCCTCTCGAACGTAGGTTCGAACCCTCATCACGGCCCTTGTTGATTTGTTCGACATACATCTTACTGTAATACAGAGAACGACTGCCACTAACATTTACTCATTGCAACACTAATGCAAACTGAAAACTTTGAAATCCTGGATCAGTATTTATCATGCATTTGGGTATGCACTTACAAAACCTGTACATCTTGACTTGATCATGGCAGCTTAGTCTGGGGTCGTTAAACAGTTTATGAGGTTCGAAACTCCAGGATGTTATAGGCAGCCTCGTACCCCTTCGGAGCTCATAAACACTTTAATAAATGTAAACTTACCCGGCATGCTTGAGGAAAGACGTACAGGATAAGTAATGAACACGTAAATGCTTGGTAAGTACTGGCCCTGGTATCTGCCTCTTTGACTGTAGGAAGCTGAAAAGAGAGAGACGCTGTCTGCAAGTTTCTTCCTCCTAGTCACCAACTTGACCCCACACGCGTCTCACCTCTCTCCTCTCTACCCCCACAGGTACTCCCTCAACGGCAAGGGCTACACCTCCGGGGCCTCCACCATGAACTCTGCCCGCTCGGTGTCGTCTCACAGCGACCACTACGCCATCGTGCACTCTCGTCCCAACTCCCGCTACTCAGGTCACCACTCGCTGAAGCACGACCGTCACCACCACCCGTCCTCTAACTCTCGCGGGCCTCCCTCCACCACCGGCAGCCATTACTCCGGCAAGTACTGAGCCTCTTGCACCTCTTCACCATCTGGAGGACGACGAGTCAAGAACAGACTTGGAGAGTGAATACAGCAACGTTACATATTTTCGGTTGCGGGAAAGTTGGTAGAGGGTGGGGGTGAAAGTTGGTATGGGTCTGGTGAAAGCTGTGTGGTATTTCATATTAGAGTTTGAACTTCCAGGTGCAGCGACAAGGCTCCTGGAGCGAATAGTAGACTTGTGTGGGACTTGATTGGTCTTGTATGTTTTTTCTGAAAATGCAGGACCTATCCCCCTAAAGTCACCTATACCGAGGGGCGGTATGAAAGTGAGTACAATATTGGAAGTGCTATTTTTTCCATGGTGACAATTTTGAAAATGTAAGTAGCGAAATACACCTGTTCTAGAATGTTGGCTTCAAGTTCCCTGAACCCGAAGATTTCTGTCCACTCTGCTGAAGATTAGTGATACCTTCGCCAAGCTTCCTCAAGTATTCCAGTACGAGGTGCCGCTCCTTGGGAAGAGTGTCGTCGCTTCCAGCAGCACCTAAGTCTTGACTTGGTCTCTCTCCCCCTCTGATCATTAGTTTGGAAAAAGAATTATGGATCCCGAGCAGCAGCAGCAGCAGCGGCAGCAGCAGCAGCAGCAGCAGCCCCAGGGCGATACTGACGGAGTGGGTTATTCGCGTGTTTACTTCCAGTGATTATTCCTGCACAAGTGATTGGACGCTCCCGGTGGCCGGAGTTTTCCAGGATGGCTGGAGTCTCCCAGTGATCGCAATTTCCAAGTGAATATAATATTTTTAAGTGGATGGAATATCCCCTTACCGGAATCTGCTTAGATTCGCCAGTGTGATGGGCTTCCCGTCTTGATCATCACGGTACCTCCAGGACTCCAAGCGTCGCGATACTCTCCCTCAGACATGTTCAAGCGTTGCTGTTGCTGCTTCTATAATGTGTTTAGCTTTCTCAATACTTAATACTTTTATCTTTGGGTGTCTCCAGCGCCTTCCTAACCTCCACACTGCTTTCCTATTTTATCGATAAATGACGGAAAACCTTCATCAAAGTCACAGGCAAATTAGGTACTATAATGAAAGTTTTTATAGAACGCGTGATACAAAATAAATTTTCTTTTGCTGCAAAGAATATGTTATTTTTACGTCCAAGAAAATATTAGGTTTGCAAGGGAATTATATGCTCTCTCAATTATGTTAAATTTAAAGCAGCAAATATGCATTGTATCTATTGACAAATTCTACATATATACAATGATGCGATCCCGTTGCCTTCCAGTAGCCCTATAGAAGATTGATTTTTTTCCCCTTAGACGAAAGAGGGAAAGTCTCCCACATCTTTCTTGAGTCTCCCCACGTCAGACTCGAGCCTCCCCACGTCAGACTCGAGCCTCCCCACGTCAGACTCGAGCCTCCCCACGTCAGACTCGAGCCTCCCCACGTCAGACTCGAGCCTCCCCACGTCAGACTCGAGCCTCCCCACGTCAGACTCGAGCCTCCCCACGTCAGACTCGAGCCTCCCCACGTCAGACTCGAGCTTCCCCACGTCAGACTCGCGCCTCCCCACGTCAGACTCGAGCCTCCCCACGTCAGACTCGCGCCTCCCCACGTCAGACTCGAGCCTCCCCACGTCAGACTCGAGCCTCCCCACGTCAGACTCGAGCCTCCCCACGTCAGACTCGAGCCTCCCCACGTCAGACTCGAGCCTCCCCACGTCAGACTCGAGCCTCCCCACGTCAGACTCGAGCCTCCCCACGTCAGACTCGAGCCTCCCCACGTCAGACTCGAGCCTCCCCACGTCAGACTCGAGCCACGTCAGACTCGAGCCTCCCCACGTCAGACTCGAGCCTCCCCACGTCAGACTCGAGCCTCCCCACGTCAGACTCGAGCCTTCCCAAGTCAGACTCAAGCCTCCCCAAGTCGCAGGTCACCCCACTCGCTCTAAGGCCGCAAATAGAACGAAACAAAAGGACAGAAAGTTACGAGGCTTGCCCTCCCCCTCCGACTCACAGCATTACAAATAACCTCCATATATCTTCACAACAGCCTTAATATATCCCTGAGGAATGAACACTCCTCAGCAGATCCTCAGAAATATACGGCCTCGTTATGTACCTGGGAGAAGGAGGCTGAGAGAAAAAATGAAGTAGTTTTCTTCCCGCAGAGTTTAAAAATTTCATCGCAAATCTCAAAGTTGGAGTTGCATAAAAGATGATTTTTTGTTTGTATATGTTCAGAAGGTAGAATATATATTTGAGTAAATGTCCCACAAACGTGTATGTTTATATGTATGCGTATTATATCTTGCACGCACACACACACACACACACACACACACACACACACACACACACACACACACACACACACACACACACACACACACACACACACACACACACACACACACACACACACACGCACACACACGCACACACAGGTCACAGGAGCAACTATTTCTGTGGGAGGGGAGGAAAGAGGAGTGCAATTGGAGGTTTGTGATTGGCAGCTGAGGCACCACTTTGGTCTTGTTTGGAGCACATAACAGGGGGGGGGGGGATGAGGACAAAGGTGCTCGTCCAGACCTGATGGGCCTATCGCAGCAGCTGTAAATAGTACTTACGACCCTATGTGCAGTGTTAATGTAGCTGGATCTTGACCCGAGATGAAGATCGTTGGAGATGCCCAAGAGGTGGTAGTTCACTATAACAGTCTGGCATAAACTTTAGAAGTCTGTGTCTTCTTTTAAATCTCTCTCTCCCTCCCTTTCTCCCTCTCTCTCTCTCCCTCCCTCTCCCTCCTACTCTGTACTCCATCACAGGTCTCATCTTATTATTCTCCTTCGCCATAACTAACATTTTAAGAGCTTCTAAGCTGGGGATAATTAAATAAATGGTTGACAGTAATTATAATTAGGCTGAAAAGAATGATAGACTAAAATGTTGGTTTGTGAGGAGAAAAAAAGGGCAAAGAACTAAGGGTGCCGAGTAGGGTTTGGTGGGTACAAAGGAAGGCATCAGCTGTCCCTTAAGGAGTGTAAGGGTGTACAAAGGTTCTTTGAGAGAAAACCTAAAAATGTCCTTTGAAACTAAATCTTTCTCTCTTGAAGTCATAATCATCAGTTTTTGCACTTGTTATCTGAAATTGGTTTAATGGTTTAATTGGAATTAAATTTAATTAATAAAGGAAATTTGTTTCAACCTTCTTAACAGGTTTAAAGAGAACTTTTTCGATTGTCCTAAACTTGATTACAGGAATGTGTCCTAATAACTTATTCGTAAAGGATTACACATGTGATGAAAAGGAGTTACTACTTTTTTGGGGGGAGGAACGGGTGGCAGATTTGTCTATAATAACAATTTTAGTTATGTAAAACAAAGAGTGCCTGTTAATGCTAGTTTCAGAGGACTATGTTCTTGTTTCATTAATTCATAATTTAAAGGAAACAGTGCCTATGTCCCTTCCAGATAGTGATGCCTGTGACGTAGTTCAAGAGTTCTTCTCTCTCATCCTCACGTGTTCAAACACGTGAGGATTAAACACGTGTTATCTATAATCAAACACGTGAGGATACGTAACACGTGTAACAAATGACAAATACGCATAGGGACGCGACGCATCCTCCAGGTAAACTAACCAATGACTCCAGGGACAAAGTTATACACTAAAACTATGATATGTTTCCCCGTATGGGCGGCGCTGCGCGGTTCTGAACCACGATTCTTCAAGCCTTTACGCAACAACTTACGAAACCTGTTCATCATTCCTTAAGCACAGCAGCTTTGTTTACTTATATTAAACCAGTTTAAAAGCTTGAAACTTGACAACCCAAGATTATTATTGTTATAAACAAACTTGCAGTGCTTCGGAGCTCAAACTGTTTAGTAACTGTAAACAAAGTCGCCATGGTTGAAGAAAGATGTACAGGTTTGGTAGTGATTATGGAAATGCTCGAGGAATCCTGGCCTTACTGATACTGATGTTAGGGTGTAATGAAGTACGCCGAGACCCCCTCTCCTGTCCCCCGTCGCTGACAGATGACGGTCACGGGGTAAGGTGCAACCTGTCCTCTTACTACCTTAGTTTTTTTATGGTATCAACCAATCCGTTAAAAATGCGACGCATTAGTAAAAATTTAAGCACTGTAATAATGACGTTTCCTCTGCATCTGCCTCGATAGATTAATTAAGGCAAGCTGCTTGAGTTCGAGTGTTTCTGGTTAGGGAAAAGGTCGCATTTTTTACGGAGTGGAAAATCGAGTGGAGGAGCTGAGAATATATGGTACAATCCACTAGTTTTCAAAAGGATTTTTGTTGTTTTTTAACAAGCTGCGCAAGAGGATTGGACTTGGCTTAAAGGCTGTTAATAACCTGTTAATATTACCATTATCTCTCATTCATGTCACACACACACACACACACACACACACACACACACACACACACACACACACACACACACACACAATGGACATTAGATTAAATTTTACTGGCAAAGATTGAATACTTATTTTTTACCGCGAATGAATAATATCTAGTCCTTTTTGTCATTAAATATCGCCCTCCAGTCACCTGAAATAATTAGTTTGACAAAAGATTCAGGTAACTACTGTGCCGATCCGTTTGAGTGACGTCATCGTCACGGTGTCAAAACTCCGTCCAGTCGACCTTTTTATGTAAATAAGAATTAAAAAGAACAAATTATTTATTAGGATTTGTTCCACTTTACTCATTCACAAATATCGGTGTATTTTTTACTCGCTCCTCTGATATATTAAAACGTCCGACGATAGCTTGTTTAGGCTGCTATCGTCAGGGGGCACGATTGATGACGATTGATGTAACATCAATTATGCGACGCGATGGTGACCGATCGCTGTTGCCAAGTCTACTACTCCCTAGAACTACACTTAACTCTACATCTCTGTATTAGCTTTCATAATACATTATTCGGTTCTGCAACTGTATTATCCCCCGCCTCACGCTGTTCACGAGAACACAAGGTGTTAGTCCATGTTATCACCGCCATAATCACACTAATTTAACGATAACATTGTATCACTGCGTGTTCTTGTTATTCATTTCCCCTATTCATTATTTGTGCCGCAGTGAATGTTGATGCGTCATTCATCACGTGGATGATGAGCTCAACTTTGTTTACTGAGGCAGTGTGACTTCGAGAATAGTTACGTTACCTTGAGATTTCCTTGAGGTTACCTTGAGGTGGTTCCGAGGATCTATGTCCTCACAGTCCGGGTGTGTGACCAGGCCTACATGGAGGTGGTCTGGTCAACCAGGCTATTGCAGTTGGCAGTCTGACGTCTGAATCACGACGTGGATGACCAGGTACCTATTGCTGTGAATCTACAGGTGACGTTTCCTGTTGTAACTAAGGCGATCGGATAAGCTTTGCTTGTTGTATTCCTGTTAAGTTAGCCATTGATTAATGGTTCAATGGCAGTGTAATTTTCATAATTTAGAATATTTTTGTGTTTGAAGCTGATGTGAATAGTAAGTCCAGTGGTGACTAATTGATTTATTGATTGTTTGAAAGTGTAATTATATTGATTGGTAATTATTGATGTGATAATTAGAGGTAATTATTTTAAACTTTCTTGTTACATTATAGGAAACTAAATACATAATAATTGCTTCATGAACCACAGCGATGGGTTAACAAGTGAATGATCAACAACTTTTATTCT